TCGACTTTAAACTAAAACACTCGGAACTAAAACTAAAACATTTTATACTTTTCCTATCATTTCCTTTGCTCTCAAACACGTAGACTGACTCTCATTTGAGTATAAGCTTTGAGACCCGGAGTCAAGTCTTTCGTATTGACTTATAATTGAAATCTCAAATTATTATAAGAATTGTGTTTTACTTGTTTGACATAACAAGCGAAACAAGTGTCGGAATTGTTTAATAAATTTGTGCTAATTTTGTAAATGTTTGTGACTTTGAAGAGATGTCAGAAATCCGAGAGAGAAAGCCGTCGGTGAGCGGTGGGATGGTAGGGCCGGGCGGGTCATCACTCATGTGTCGAGCGGCCGAACACTCGGAGAACATCGCAAAGAAACTGCTCGAAGAGGCAGAGAATGTGGAGATTGTCATGAGGAAAGTGCTCAACAATGCCTGGAATGTAAGCATTTGGACAGTTGTCTCATTTTATTCAATCATCACTTCATTTGATTACTTGTTTTATTCATTTATAATTATGCTATTAATTATAAACTTTTTTAAATGTTTGTAATTTTAATGAAATGAAATGTAAAGCGCTTTTTATAATTAATAAGTAGTCGTCTCTAATGATTGGAGTTTTATATGCTTTAGATTTAAGTGGATTGAGTTATTTGTCACAATATTAGTACATTTGATTTGTTTGAATGCACGCGAGTTTTATCAGTTTATTTTTAAAACACGATTAAAGTTTGAAATAACTTTATTCAGACCAAAGTTTTCGCCTATATTTTGATTTACTTTTTGAAACGATTTTCTATTGATAATAATAGCTCTACTTAATAGTCTNTTTGATTTGTTTGAATGCACGCGAGTTTTATCAGTTTATTTTTAAAACACGATTAAAGTTTGAAATAACTTTATTCAGACCAAAGTTTTCGCCTATATTTTGATTTACTTTTTGAAACGATTTTCTATTGATAATAATAGCTCTACTTAATAGTCTTAGAGATGATTAAATCTATTCATTAATGTGTCTGAATTACAAATTCATTAATTTAATGGCAAATGCATTTGATTTGAACGCTAATGTTATCGATGAAGTTGTCAAAGCTATTGATGAATATTATGAATACAAAGTATCTAATGAATTGAGAACTTAATGAACTGATAGTTGTGTTGATGATAACGATTGACCCGTTATTTTGATTGTCACGAAAGGTGTGTCACTTCACAGAACTGCCGCAATGGCTCAAAGACAACGACTATCTGGTGATGGGTCACAGGCCTCCCCTCTCCTCATTCAAGGCGTGCTTTTGGTCCATATTTCGATTGCACACCGAAACGGGCAACATCTGGACCCACGGCGTCGGCTGTTTGCTGTTCTTAGGGCTGGCCATTCACGTGTATGGCTACCAGTACTCGGACATTCCCTTTATGGACAAAATAGTGTTCGGCTGCTTCTTCGCCGGTGCCATCATATGCTTAGGACTGTCCACATGTTATCACACACTCAGCTGTCACTCACACGCAGTCGGACGCCTCTTCTCCAAGTAATTGCCACTATTTGTGACCCCAATCTCATGGCCCAACCCTTTTGACCCTAATTTGTTATGCGGTTATTGGTGGATAATGAAAGCCTAAATTGTTTTGTCATTGAATTTAATGAAACCATTTTTTATTTGCTTTGTCCGTAGACTGGATTACTGTGGGATAGCTTTGTTGATCACCGGCTCGTTTGTCCCGTGGCTTTACTATGGCTTCTACTGTTCATTAATGCCTAAGATTTTCTACTTGTGTTTAACCATATTCCTGGGCTTCTCATCAGTCATAGTCTCGCTTTGGGACAAGTTTTCAGAGCCGCACTTCCGACCGCTGAGGGCCGGCGTATTCATGTCGTTCGGCCTGTCGGGTGTCATACCAGGCGTGCATTGGCTTATTAGTCACGGCCTCACCTCTTGGATTGAGTCCTCCATAAGGGCTTCGTTCACAAGTCTTATCGTAATGGGAGTCCTGTATATATTGGGCGGAGTTCTCTACGCCTCCCGAATACCCGAGAGATTTTTCCCCGGAAAATGTGATTATTGGGTAAATCTATTGCTTTATATGTTGTATGAATTGATTAATAATTTTATATCCTTTTTTTGATCCCCAGTTCCATTCGCATCAATTGTTTCATATACTGGTAATCTGTGCGGCAGTTGTACACTATCACGGCATCACATGTATGGCCGACTATCGGCTCAACTCACCCCACGCTGTCTGTCCCGTTCCCGACGAGTATTTGGAGTATTAATCAAACAGTATAAGCAATAATTGAGTGTTCATTAGACACACAACCTATACATTAAAAATCATTTAAGCGATTATGAAATGTTTACACAAATAAAACGCTACAAACAGAATGTATAACGAATTTTGCTGTTTTCGAGACAAACCATCAGTTTTTTTGATTCAATTATCATTTAAATCTTGAGAAGAATATTATATAAATTAACAATTATAGCATTTTGTCATTTTTTAATTTTCATTATTAAAATAATAATAATCTCTTATTCGGTATATCTTTACTTAATATTTAGTTTTTAATCTCTAATTATTTATCAATCTTTGTGTTTATGTTTTTAGATACATATAGAGTAATTTAATTGTATTATTATTATTGTTTTACTTTATTGTCTCATATTTTTTTAATTTAAGTGACATTTTATTCTCTAATAATTTGTTGGTTTTGTTTAAGAGTTCTCATAATTAATGTTTGGTTTAATTGTTTTTGCTTTTATTTGTTTAAATATTAATTTAATATACCATTTAAGCAATTATTATCTATTTTTATTAACTTTATTCAAAAACTTAATAAAAAGTTTTATGAAAATAATGGTTTCAATTATTACTGAATGCAATAATTCAATTACTGGATAATTGAATTCAACTTAAAAAGGATTATATTAATGCCGAATGTGCTGAACAGATGTATAAATACAACCAAATAAAACGACAAATGTTCCCAATTATACACCCCAGTTATTATATACCCCTATTATAAGTAAATAATATACGAAAGCCTGGCTGCCAGACCGTCCTATCTCTGAATGCAAAGTATTACCGTATAAACTAGGTATAAATTTGAATCATCTATGATACATTTTTATTCATTAATACACTTTCTATAATTCATAATTACTGTATTAGTATTTGTATTCAGAGATAGGACGGTCTGGCAGCCAGGCGTTCATATATTATAAATTACTTTATATTTACTTATTATACCAATTCCGATATTTATTATCTAATCAATACTTGGATTAAAAGTGAATTAATAAATTAGGAAATGAAGAGAAACATCGATATATCTTTTAATTGTATAGACTTTTGGGTGACAACAGAGTAAATATCTGGATAATTTATAATTATTGCTAATTGAGAATTGCTATTATGATATAATGAATTTAGCGATACGCTAATACAGTATCAGTGTATTTTGGATCAGTATTTATATCAGAAGTGGTTTATCGTTTAAAACAAATAACTGATTTGTAATACTATATAAATATAAATTCTTCGAAATGTTGACATAAATTGTGACATTTTATACAAAACTAATTTATTGAACAGCTTTAATCAAATATTATTGTTATATTTATTGAATAATGAATTCAATACTATGTATATTGACTGCATTGGTGTTGACTTCTGTAAGAAATCTTAAAATTCAATTTGAATTATAAATACAACATTATATTACTCACAGAATACTTGTGAATCGGTTCGTGAGTTCAAAGTGGATCCCGAAAACAACCAGTTCCTCAAAGATGGTCAACCATTTCGTTATGTCTCGGGAACTCTTCATTACTTTAAAGTGCCGTCAGTTTTATGGTTGGATCGGATGACCAAATATAAAGCCGCCGGACTTAATGCCATTCAAACGTATTATAGTTATAACTAATAGTATAAACATATTATTTACATATTGTATGACATATTCAGTTATATTGAGTGGAATTTTCACGAACCAGAAGAGGGTGTCTTTGACTTTGAAGGCGATAGAGATCTCATTAAATATCTGCAAACCGCTAATGATTTGGGACTTTTGGTTATCCTAAGAACCGGGCCTTTCATTGATGCCGAAAGAGATTTGGTATTTATTTATTAATATTTAAAAATATGTTTTATATATTTTATGATACTGTACCAGGGAGGACTTCCATATTGGCTATTGTCTAATAATCGAGACATGAAATTAAGGACATCTGATCCGTCGTATGTGAAAGCCGTCGAAAAATGGTTTTCACTGTTGTTACCAAAGTTGGTGCCAATGCTATATAAAAACGGCGGACCAGTTATTATGGTTCAGATTGAGAATGAATACGGAAGTTATTATGCCTGCGATTATGGATACACTTCTCATTTACGGGATTTACACATTCACTACTTCGGCAAAGATATCCAATTGTTCACCACTGATGGCAATGGGGACTCTTACTTAAAGTGTGGGAAAATAGATAACGTGTTCGCAACCGTCGATTTTGGTCCCGATGCCGATCCCGTCAAGTCATTCATAGCCCAGAGAGCGCACCAGGAGTTTGGGCCATACGTTAACTCCGAGTACTACACGGGTTGGATCGACCACTGGGAACGACCCCATTCTACCGCCACTTCTCTACAAGTGTGCAAAACATTGGACGCTATGTTAGCTCTGAACGCATCCGTCAATCTGTTTGTTAAACTATTTCTTGTGTTTAGTTTCAGAAATGAATTCAAATAATTTTTGTGTAATAGATATCCACTTCACGGCGGAACGAGCTTTGGATTTGATTCGGGTGCTAATATAGATAACAATTTATACGATCCATGTATTACGAGCTATGACTTCAATGCGCCCCTCACTGAGGACGGAGACCCCACTCAGAAATACTTTGATGTCCGCAACGTTATTGGAAAAGTAAATGTTTTAGTATTTATTCAAATTCTTAGTTTAATAATGAAATTTATTTGTTAATATCCAGTACTTATCACTTCCTAACGTTACACTCCCGGTGCCGTCACCTAAAATGGAGACCAAACCAATAGTTATGAAACCAATTCTTAATATATATGACATTATCTCATCCCTAACTCGCATTGAATCGGTATATCCGATGAGTTTCGAAGAATTGAGAATAAAGAGTGGATTTATTCTCTACTCGACAAACATTACATTCAAACCGTCAGATCCGGCCGTTTTGTCTATAGATGGACTCAAAGATAGGGCACAAGTGTTTGTCGACCAGGTTTATAATTATTTTAAGTGATATATAAAGTTTATTTTACATGTAATTGCTTATAAATTGGCAGAAATATGTGGGAACTTTAAGCCGGACACAAAGTATCACTAAAATAGGCCTGGACATTGAGTTGGGATCACAACTGGATTTGTTGGTTGAAAATCAGGGAAGACTTGCTTATGGAAACACAATCAATGAATTGAAAGTATGACACAATTAACAAATTTCCATACTTTTTAGAGTGAATAGATCTGATATTTTTTTCACCCAAAAGGGGATCACATCTAATGTAACAATAGGTCCCGTAGTAGTGAAGGATTGGGGCCATTATTTAGTGTTTAAGAATTGGACTAAAAGTATGGCTATTATTGAACATTATTCTGATGTCATTCCAACACTTCCCACTCCAGCCAAAGAGAGTTCATTTGATAGGATTCCCTCATTCTATACGTCAGACTTTGTTTTACCCGACACTAAGGGTTACCCTTTCGATACATTCCTACGTCTGGACGGATGGCGGAAAGGAATTGCATTTCTTAATGGCTTTAATTTGGGTCGATATTGGACTGTCGGCCCACAACTCACACTATACTCACCCAAACACCTGTTCAATGCATACCCCAAACCAAACAAATTAATTGTCTTTGAATTGGAAAGATCTTCAAACAGTAAAACCGTTCAATTCGTTACACAAAGTGTATTGAATGCAACGATTCCCTACTCTTAAGAATAATTATAATAAAAATGTTTATAGACTTTTCTTTTTTGAAATAAGTTTATATGTACTGTACACCTGTATTATCTTAATTAAAAACTTCTCTCTTTAATTTTTGTGTGTTGAGTTTATTTAGTTTTAAAAATGAATAATAAATAAGGTTTAAGAACTCTTAAAAATAATTCTTATCTTATCAGAAATAATATTTCAAAATAATTAAATTGAAATACAATACTTTAAATGTCAATTGTTATTTAAAGTCTAAAATAATAATATAATAAATGAATAATAATAATTGTAAATATAATCAGTTTAATCACTTATTGACTTTGTATTGAATGCATAGTTTGAATTGAGTATTTGTTTTTAAAGTTGATAATTAACAGAACAGACTGCATGTTATCAAATAGTTTCAATTACACTTACATTAAACTAATCCATCAAATGATATATTAATGAATTCAGTTGATTTCAACTGTGGGTGAATTTCTATTCATTAAATGTGTTTTTAATGATATTGATATATTTTTATAATAATTCAAAATAATAGATATAAATATACAATAAATGCCAAAAACGAACAAATGACTGATAATTAATTATGTAATGAAATTAAATAACTATTAATCTGAAGTATTTGTATATAATAAAGGCATCAAAGTGCTAAAATTTAACATATTTAAAATATTTCATCAAAGTCGCAAAAAATAATAATTACCATATATATAACTTTTATTAATTATTATTATGAAGTTTCCAATAATTCCAGTTTTGGCAACAGTTTTGTTTTATGTTAGAAATAAATAATTGTTTTAAATATATTTTTTAAATATTAATAATAATTTGTTATCTACAAATCTAGAGTTATAGTGAATGTGTCCGTGAATTCACAATTGATTACGAAACCAATGAATTCCTAAAAGATGGTCAACCCTTTCGTTATGTGTCCGGTTCTATACACTACTTCCGAGTGCCAGCCGTTTTATGGGCCGACCGTTTGATGAAAGCAAAACAGGCCGGACTTAATGCCATTCAAACGTAGTATTTATAAATTGAAATAAATTTTCATTTTAATGAATATCTATTGAATAGATATATTGAATGGAATTCTCACGAACCGGAGGAAGGGTTCTATAACTTTGAAGGCGATTACGATTTGATTCAATTCTTGAAGACAGCTAATGACTTGGGATTATTGGTTATCCTAAGAACCGGACCATTCATTGACGCCGAGAGAGATTTTGTAAGTGTTTTAAAGTTTTATAAAATGTATTTAATTAAAATGTTTTACACAACAAATTGTTCAAATAGGGAGGACTTCCGTATTGGTTATTGTCTAAGAATCCAAACATGAAATTAAGATCATCTGATCCGAGTTATCTCGAGTCCGTTGACAAATGGTATTCATTATTATTACCAAAGTTGGTGCCAATGCTGTATAAAAACGGCGGACCAGTTATTATGGTTCAGATTGAGAATGAATACGGAAGTTATAAAGCGTGTGATTATGGATACACTTCCCATTTACGGGATCTACACCACAAACTTTTGGGTCACGACATGACACTATTTACCACCGATGGTGATGGCGATGGATATCTAAAGTGTGGAAAAATAGATAACGTGTTCGCAACCGTTGACTTCGGGCCGGGAAGTGATCCAATCGATGCATTTCATACACAACACGTTCACCAAGAGTTCGGACCGAGTGTTAACTCCGAGTACTACACGGGTTGGCTCGACCACTGGGAAACACCTCACCAGACGGTCAACACCACTGCTGTCACCGAAACATTGGACGCGATATTAGCACAAAACGCTTCCGTCAACCTGTAATGGGTTTAGTAATGTATTTATGATTTTTATGAATTTAATATGTGCTGGCTTGTTTTGTAGGTACATGTTTCACGGGGGCACCAGTTATGGATTCAGTGCCGGTACCAGTACTCAAGATATGGGATCTATAATTCCCTGCCCTACCAGTTATGACTACGACGCTCCACTCAATGAGGCCGGGGATCCAACTCCTAAATACTTTGCCATCAGAAAAATAATCGCAAAAGTGAGTTCAGTTATTATGATGTACTTAATTTGTAATATACTTACTATAAATGATCCAGTACCTACCACTTGACAACGGCACACTTCCAGTGCCTTCACCAAAAATGGAGTCCAAACCAATTGCGATGACACCTGTCCTTAATTTATATGACGTTATCTCAATCCAAACCGCCATTGAATCGCTATTTCCACTGACTTTCGAAGAACTGAGAGTAAGAGAAGGGTTTATACTCTACTCGACAAACATAACATTCATTCCGTCAGATCCGGCAGTTTTGACAGTAAAAGGACTTAAAGATAGGGCACAAGTGTTCGTCAATAAAGTAAATAATTACTAAAATAGTGGTCAAAGATGTTAATTATTTTAATTGACAGAAATATGCGGGAACTTTAAGCCGAACTCAAAACCTCTACGAAATGGGTTTAGACATAGAGTTAGGTTCACAACTGGATTTGTTGGTTGAAAACCAGGGAAGACTTTGTTATGGGAATTCAATCAATGAATTAAAAGTATATTTAACTCATATCATAAATTTATTTTAAATTTTTTGCTAAAGTTATTGATTAAACAATTAAACATTTTCCTAATTTAAAAGGGTATCACATCTAACGTAACCATAGGTCCGGATATAATAGAGAATTGGAGCCATTATTTGGTGTTTAAGAATTGGACTGAAAGTATAACTCATATTCAAGAATATTCTAATATTGTGTCTTCACTTCCCATTCCACCGACGAAGAGCTCATTTGATAGGATTCCCTCATTCTATACGTCAGACTTTGTTTTACCCGACACTAAGGGTTACCCTTTTGATACATTCCTACGTCTGGACGGATGGCGGAAAGGACTCGCATTTCTCAATGGATTCAATTTGGGTCGATATTGGACTGTTGGCCCACAACTCACACTATACTCACCCAAACACCTGTTCAATGCATACCCCAAACCAAACAAATTAATTGTCTTTGAATTGGAAAGATCTTCAGACACTAGAACCGTTCAATTCGTGACACAAAGTGTATTGAATGCAACGACTCCTTACACAAATATTTCATTTGAAACCGATTTCGTATAAATCTAAATAAATAATTCTTATAATTTTTATTATTTAGTCTAAACATTTATTACATTAATATGTTAACAGTTGTTATTTTAGCGAGTGTTATAAAATCACTTGAATATTAAGTGTAGTGAATAATTTTTCTCAAAGAATTATTTAGTTATAAAGAATTTTTACATTATTATTATTATATGGATGTGTTACCATTAAATGTTTGTTAATGTTTGGCAAATTTTATTATTTTAATAAGTGTCTTAGAATCATATGAATATTTAATGTAATGTATTAACGTTGTGTATACTTATTATAACTTATAATTTATAAGTTTACAAATAGTACTGTACATTAGTGGCAAACTATTGGTCCCTTTTCTCAATTCCCACTAAAAGTCTTTTAGGAGACGCCAAACGGAATGATCGCTTGTATATGAGAGGGACGTCTGTATTAGGAGTTCTGAAGAATCTGTATTTCCTGATAATATGAGCCAAACCTAACTTTGCTTCGAGTAATGCAAACCTCATACCAATGCAATTGCGAGGGCCGGCACCAAAGGGCAGGTATGTGTAGGGAATTATGTTATGTCTATTCTCAGGCAAAAACCTATCAGGGTTAAACTGGAATGGGTTCGGGTAATATTCCTCCAAGTGGTGAATACCATGGATTGGAAATTCAATTTGTTGGCCTTTAAGTAATGTAATACCAGTTTCACCCAATTTATAGTCAGTAGAGGCGAGTCGTGCCAATCGTTGGGCCGGCGGATGAAGACGTAGTGTTTCTGAGAGGACGGCATCTAAATATGGCAGTCGAGCCAACTCTTCGTAACTGATCTCTCCGTTGGAATCGACGGCAGAATTGATTTCTTCGTACAGTTTGTCCTGAATATCTTGATTGAGAGCCAACTCATACGTACAGAACGTCAGAGTAGTGGCCGTCGTCTCATACCCGGCTAAAAAGAAGACGATAGCCTGCGCCAGGATTTCATATTCAGTCAACTGTTTGTTAACCAAATTCACATTCAAAGCCTTCTTCTCACTTTCCAACTCTTCCTCTCCTTTACAATCAATTCATTATTAGTCTTAAGATATATTAGCAATGATTTCATACCTTCGTTTACATGATGTGATTCATGTATATCTGCCTCATCTCTAGTGATGTCTCCGTCCTTCTCGACATCCATAAGCAGTTGAATGAAATCATTATACTTTTGTTTACTCTGACGTCTGGTAGAAATGATCTGACGGGTGGTCTCTAAGAAGAACTCGACTCCAGTTTTATCCTTATTTCCGCCGAAAATTCTTTTCACCAAAAATGTGGGCAAAACTATGAGTGACAGTATTTTTATGATATTAAAATTAAACACTTTTCTAGCGTTTAATACGAAAGGACTGTCCAAATCGTTGTGAGCATTGGTCTTCGTGGCAAAGGCACACGTGGCGATCACATCCATAGTGTAGTTCCCGTACATATCCTTTATATTAATTTCTTTCTTATTTACTGCAAAGCCCTCCAAATGGCTCATAAAGTCTGTCAAACACTCTCTAATTCTTGGATACATTTTCTTCATCTTTCCGGAAGTGAATGTCGGACTGGCTATCGATCTGATTCTCTTCCAGTCATCTCCGGTAACGTCAACCAAATTCTTACTCATAATCGGGTGCCGAGACTTCANATTAAATATTCATATGATTCTAAGACACTTATTAAAATAATAAAATTTGCCAAACATTAACAAACATTTAATGGTAACACATCCATATAATAATAATAATGTAAAAATTCTTTATAACTAAATAATTCTTTGAGAAAAATTATTCACTACACTTAATATTCAAGTGATTTTATAACACTCGCTAAAATAACAACTGTTAACATATTAATGTAATAAATGTTTAGACTAAATAATGAAAATTGTAAGAATTATTTATTTAGATTTATACGAAATCGGTTTCAAATGAAATATTTGTGTAAGGAGTCGTTGCATTCAATACACTTTGTGTCACGAATTGAACGGTTTTAGTGTTTGAAGATCTTTCCAATTCAAAGACAATTAATTTGTTTGGTTTGGGGTATGCATTGAACAGGTGTTTGGGTGAGTATAGTGTGAGTTGTGGGCCGACAGTCCAATATCGACCCAAATTGAATCCATTGAGAAATGCGAGTCCTTTCCGCCATCCGTCCAGACGTAGGAATGTGTCAAAAGGGTAACCCTTAGTGTCGGGTAAAACAAAGTCTGACGTATAGAATGAGGGAATCCTATCAAATGAGCTCTTCGTCGGTGGAATGGGAAGTGAAGACACAATATTAGAATATTCTTGAATAT